GGGGGGAGAAAGAGATGCCTGCAACCTCTGCTGCAGGGGCACACAGGACTCCAGTAGGGAGCCAACAGGGCCAGGCCCCCCCGAGGAGTTCCTAAGCCCCCTTCCCATCATCAGGGACCAAGGGCAGTGGGAAGGGCTCCTTTTCAGCTTCCTCCAAAGCTGGGGGTGGGAAGGGCAAAGGCCTTACCCCCAAGCCTAGACCACCAGCACCTGAGGGGACCAGGTGCGCTACACCAGCCAGCACAGCCACTCAGCCTGCCCCTGGCCCCAAGGGCCTTGACCACTGCTGCTACAGTCAATGAGTGCAGGTTGTGCGCGGGGGGGGGCGGTGTCAGAGTGGCAGGAAGTGATCAGGGAGCTGGGGAAGCCAGTGGGGACCTGGGAGAATGATGGGGGAGCTGGAGAAGCAAGCAAGGGGCTGGGCAGGACCCCACCCCATGTTCCCCTTCCCTTCCTCCTCTAGTCCCCCTCACCCTCTACTTACCTGTCAGGAACCTGGGTCCAGGTCCCTGCAGCTTGCACCACTGCTTGCCCCATGTGGGCAGGCACCATGCATCAGCACCGGTGCAAAGGCCAGCCAGAGATGCTCTGGCTGGCTACCGGAGTGTCTGTAGAGCACCAAGCCTCTGGTTGCCTCAGGGCATGGTCCAGGACTGTGCTCTGCCCTGCTTTTTTCCCCTCAAGGTATTCTTTGATACCTGGATCTCCAAATTTGCAGCACAGGGAATGTTTTTTTGTTCCCAGCATGTCTTGCACCATCCTGAAGGACTTTGAGACTCTGTAAGAGGCACATCCATGCTCATCTGGATGCACCCTTAAGGACCATACTAACTATCCCTGAAAGCATTGCATATGAGCATATGCTCCATACATCAATGCCATATTGTTCTGGGTAGAGGCTAACCCCATGTATAAATTTTATGGGGTTTTGTGGGGTAGGGTTAACTTGTAATAGCAGTTATATCATACTTAGACCATACTAAATATGTATAAGGTTAAGTTGTGGTAAAAGTCTAAACCTACTGTGAATAGTCTAACATGTTAAAGGTTAACAGATTCTTGCCTGTATAGTTCTAGCAGTAGAGGTCTGGCAAGCAGGCCCTACCCAGAAGCCAAGAGGGAAGGGGGAAGTGATGCATGGAGGCTGGGAGCAATGCATTCTGGGATGCTGTGGGACTGCAAATTGCTCATTTTATCTGTGGAACAGACTGAAGTTATCCTAAAATGAGCAAGGTAGCTTAGCTCAAAGTTGCCCGTTGCCTGAAATGGCGTAATCTTGAGACTCTCAGAGGGCACTTGATGAGCTTTTATGTGCTGACACCATGTTTTAAATGTCCTTGATATGGTCTTCATTTTAATTTCTCTATAGCTGCACTGCAAGAGAAGAGTCCTTTTCAGATAGCTCTAGTGTTTCTAAGAAGCACAAGACTAGCTTAGTAAGGCCCCAGAAGGCAGCAGTGTAGCGTTGAAACAGGGATTTTAAATGGCTAAAAGAATCTGGGAAACCTGAAAATCTGTCCATGTGCTAAAATGCATCTGTCCCCACTGTCTCCTTAAAATGTGCTAGATTTAAATAAGTGTAGTAATAAAATACTAAGAGTTTTAAAGTATCCAATTTTTCCCCCTATTTTTGCCTATTCCTGAAAGCAAGGGATGCTATGTAGTCTAATGCCCTGTTAGTTTAAGTCAAATAATTTCATCAACTCACTCCTGTTTTCAGTCCAGAACCTTTTTTAAAAGTTATACCAGAAATACAGCTGGGTCTTGAAGATACCAAGGACTGTAGAATCCTTTAGTTAGACTGAAGCTGATGGACCATTGGAAAGCACTCCCAAGCTTAGTTTGAAGTTGTTTTGCTTGAGAGGCAGCTAACTATTAGCATCAAGTCAGGCAGAAGGCAGAGCAGGGTGGCACCTTAAAAGACTAAACTTGTTCAGAAAGGCATAAGCTTTTATAGGCTACAGTTGCTAACTGATGAAGGCTATTGGCTACAAAAAAACCCCCAAAACTTACACCTTTCTGAATGAGTTAAACCAAAAATACAATTCTGACCCACCTCATAGTTTAGTCTGAATCCCATATACCAGGCCAGTCACAGTAACTGGTTATCATACGATTTATTTTTTTTAAATACTTCTTTCCCCACCCTTGGAAGCAACTATTCCATAGTAGTTTATCTTACTTGTGGCCAAGCTCACTCCCCCTCACCCCTAAAACAAAAACAGAAAAGACAATGCCCAAAGTATGCATTTCTTAGCTGACAAGGTCCATCACAAGTGTGTGTGGACAAAAGATTAATATGGCCCTGTAAGGGAGTATGTATCAAGTAATTTCTTTGTCTAGGGTGTGTTGCTTTAACTTAAGGCTTAACTAGTTTTGGTTAGTCAGCCCCTTTTTATTTCTATGAAATGAAATAGAATGAGTAGTCTTACAAGTATTTTGTACTTATGGACATCCTCACTTCTAAGTTTACTATTCCATCTGTGACAAAGAGCTCTTGGACACCATAGACAGCTAAACTTGGTGACGGTTACCAAGTTCTAGGTAGCAGTAAGTGGAGATCTAGTTCTAACAAATGTTATAGCAGTTTTACTCAACCTCAATTATTTCCCACTCCCCCACCCTTTTTGTTATAGGCATAACACACACGAGAACCAACAAGTTGTGCCAAGTTGGTGCTACAGTAAGAATGCCACAGACTTGAGGCAACCAAACAATTTCAGGATTCAGTGACAAAATGCAGCTTCACAAATTCCATGCCAGATTTAGTCCCTAGAAAAGTAGGTTTTTAATTTAGATTTGCAAATGCAATATTGAAACAGGATCAATCAAATCCTCAGGTAAGTTTGTCAGCTTGTGTCATCATAATTGACATTTCATTTTGGAGAGCCTAGTGAATGCTATAATGCATGATGATTGTAAATAGGTAATGCCTGCAGAAAGGTGTTTAATTCCAGAAGTTGTGTTAGAATGCTTAAGCCATAAAAAAAAAAAAACAAACCTATAGACACACCGACTGGAGGAAAAGAATATAGGAGATATTGTAATGGGATATGTATTTATTTAGAATGAATGGGTTTAACCCACTTCAGAGCAGGTTAACATCTCATTTGTTTTGTGCTTTCACATGCCAATTCACTTTAGACTACCAGTATGCATCTTATGCTGAACAGACTTTATCCTTTCTAAAGGCAAAGTAAGTTTAAACTGCAGAAGTTAAAAAACACGGGATGATTTCAAGCTGAAGTAGGTTAATATAAGCAGTACAAAAATGGTGCAAGATGTTGTATCATCACTAGAAACAATTTATTAAGCAAACTTTTATTGAAGCATTAAGTTGTGGTACAGATATTTTTAAATGATAAAAGCCTAACACCACAGAGAGAGAAATTATAACACCTTGCTTTCCCCTCTCCTGATCACCCTATATAGTTCAATAAATTCATTCAAACAGCTTTCGTTTTTTTCTAGCCAAGGCTTTGTTTTTAGAAAGTGTGTATTTTTTCCAACTTCTCAGAAAAATGGGATTTTCTGTTTACTTGCATTATAGGACCTCAAGCCAACAAATTGTCAAGATCAGTTGGGACACTGTTCAACAAGAAACACTGAAAAAAATTGGTCCTCAGTAAGGCACCAGCAATCATTAGGTGCCATTTACAGTATAACTGATAGTATTGGTAGAGATCTTTAAATCACCAATATGCTTAAAATATAAAATCAAAACTGTTCCAACCACCTGATTTCCCACCAAGTGGATTTTAGTATAGAAACACTAAAGAAAAAAGGGAGAAAGTGCTTCATTTTTAAATACAGAAGGAACAAAATAAACCCCACCATTTCATCAATCCAGAGTCAAAACAATATTTCAAGGACAGAGGAAAGTGTCAAATTTGTAGTTGACTTGCTAGTCTTGCAGCTGCAAAAATCCCACAGTATCTGCAAACACAGCTGCAAGTTTGCCAACTGTTTAAAGCCTACATTTTAGTCAATACCCATTAAGTGACTTCTAGAATTATTTATATTCTATGAATAGCATTCTACCTCACTGTCTGTGCAGGTGTCCCAGACAGCTCTTGTTCTATGCAGTAATTTACTTAATGCCCTCAAGTCATAGTAAAAGAAATCACCTCATTAATTAGGAGGAACAGATGAAGTCACAACACCATCAATACAGCATAAGTCACATGCACAACAATGTTACAGGACTTTCAGTCACAAGAGGCATTGATTTTGCTTGGAACAAAGTGAAGGGACATTTGGACCAGTTTAGAAGCATTCTTTAGTTAGAAATGGCAATTAATGTAGTAATTATTAATAAATCCAAACTGAGCAACATACCCAGCCTGGTAAATTCCACTATCTTTTTGCTAGGTTCTACCTATGGGTAGATTTAACAGCATCAGCTTCTTAGGAAGTCAATCTTAAAGATGGCTTAAAATTGACAATTACAGAAGTGAAAATAAGCAATGAATCATGACTGAACTAGTACTTTGTACAAAACTGTTACAACTCTACCAAAGCACCTGTATTCTAACTCTGACCTCTTTGGGAGTATAGGTTGCCATATGTATAAGTGTGGTGGTTTGGAAACACGGACAAGTGTCAACTTTGGCATAAAAAAAGGACAAAGGAGGTTGTCAAATCATGACCTGAATTTAATGTCAACTCAGGTTTCTAGAAATGAACAGCTAGTGCATTAATCCAGTGTTGCTATATATTGTCCATTAGTCATTCTGAACAAAATCCCATGAGTTTGAGGACTAAAAGTATAAGCAATTTTATGCCTCAAAAGAAAATCCACCAACACCTGTAGTACTCTGTATTCTGTCTTTCTTAACTGTATCAGGTGAAGGAACTTTGCTTCAAACACTGAAGTGTGAACTAGAAGTCAGCTCCATTAGAGAGCATACTGGTTAAAAAATAAATAAATAATAATAAAAAATTAAAATCAAGAAGTGTGGCCTAGAAACTGGTATTAGAGCACAGATGAAGAGTACCTGGTGGCAAATTAACAAAGAACTGTCCCACTGAGTAGGCTGAGGCCAAAGTCTAATGAGGACGAAAGCCTTGTCTGTGGGGAATTTTTGGCGATACCTGGAGGAAAACTGTATTGCGCATAATCCTATTTGAATCATTTTTCCAAGTGTTGTAATGTCTCATATAGTAAGATTTCTCTACATGCACTTCAATTTCACAGCAAGAGTGGCATAGAATACCTAAACACAGAAGAGAGCATTCATGCAAGTTATCTAATTTCTTGATATAATAATGCATACAATTCAAAATGATTATACTATGATTACATCTAGGGCTTTCCGCAACTACAAGATGGTGGGAATGGAAAGCATGGCCCCCTGAATCATTATCTAGAAAGCAGCCACCACCTTCTATACGGGATCTCTTTTTGCGTTTTTTCTTCATTCTTAATCAGCTATGCTGTTGCTGCCGATTTTTGGCAAAACTTGTAAAAACAAAATTATAATCACTGAACTGAGCAATCTGGCGGTCAAGAATTTTAAACCCGTCAATCTTCTGGGCAGAAGACGACACAGTACGACATTTAGAGCTCTAGAAAAAAAAAAAAAACAAACAGAAAAATTGTTAAGATTCTTTTCTCTTTACAAGGGTAAGCAAAAGCTAGCTCCTGATGTGTAGTTTTTGATAAGTTCTTGAGATGTGCCTATAAAAACCAAGTGCCTGGTTCTGTGCTGTAAGATTCAAATTTTGTGTAGACAAAAACACGATTTAATTCCTCTGCAGATTTTTTTTTTTTTTTTTAATTTATAATGCTCCTACAGCAGATAAAAATCAGAGAACTAGTATAGCTGCTGAATGTAGATGCACTGCTGTTATGGCCAGGTGTTCCACAAGTGTTTGCTTGGGCATTTATGGTGCCCATTTTAGAAGGTGACAAGAAAATATTAAGGCTCGAGTATCTGTCCCTTCAGAATTTTCTGAAAAAGCTGGAGCCCATGCCCTGTTCTGATGCTCGGGCTTACTAAGCTTTAAGTTTAGTACTTGTCAAGCTTGTATGCCAAATACTGTGAATATTTCTTCAAATTTGCTTTAGCAAAGTTCGTATTTCATTAATTTGAAAAAACTAGAAAACATTGCACAAGTGCAAAAACAACTTCAAAGCAATGACACTTACTCAACTTCTGCATCTTAAGTTCCCTTATTTTGTGTGTTCTTGTTCCTGGGAGGGGGAAAGAGAGGGACACAAAAAATACTGGTACCTGATTAACAAAGAGGGTGGTCACAAATTTCCCCGGCTTGAATACATCCACAACTTTTCTAATTAGATCATCATAGGATGTCTGACTTATGTTGGTTTCGAAACTAACGTAAGAAAACTCTGGTTCTGGAGTGATGTGAATAGTCCAATAAGTTCCCTGGAAAATAGTTTAATTGCAATTGGTTACTATACATTTATTTCAAATTCAAAACAGTCAACAAGTGAAAGCAAAAAGTAATGCTTACATCTGATTTCATCCCATTCATTGAATACCCACAAGGATTGAACATTGTAGCATCAATGACAGAACCTGGTATCAGGTCACGAATTCCACTCATCTGAAGAGAGAGATTTGTTACAATCACTTACTCAAGCTCCTGAAATTCTAGTCTAGCTCCAAAAGAAAGCTTGGTTTCCTAAATTAGTGCCAAGAAGATATTTGCAGAATTCTTCCTTACACAGATAACAAATCAAGTATGCTATAGTACAGGACTTGTATGCAGCCCAACCCATACCTAAACAAACTGTCTAACACACCAAGCCAGTTAGTCTAGCCACTTTTCCTAAAGCCATTAAATCATCTTCACATTAATGCTAGGGACAAAAATTCTGTGAGCACCAGTTGAGTAAGTTTAAAATCTAAGGGATGCAATTACTTTCATCTATGGCTGGGGCAGAGGAAAATAGTTTCAGTTGAACTGGTACCTGAAAACAAGAACTAATTGGCTACATTTTAGACTCTGAACATTTTTCCATTTGTGCTCTATGAACAGGGCTGCTACATCAAGTCCCTAGCTTCCCAAGACAAAGCCTGCACCAGTCATATGCTTAAAATGAATTATAGTAAATTAGAATCGATGTTAGAAAGTGGGGGGGGGAGAAGAGGGGGAAATGCATCAAAACAGATTACATCAAGTCAACCTCTTCCTGGAGCTACTATTTTTGGAAGAGTATTATGGGCAAGTTTATGCCCAAATGTTATTGTTAAGACTGGAGAACTTCCTCCCCACCCACACACTAATTTCCTTTTAAATGACTCCATAGTGTTAAGGGAAATGTTTTAAAATTTGGATTTTGATTGCCTGCCACAAAAAAGCTGGTTTTTGTTTCTCCCTTTTGAAAACAAAGTGCTAGAAGTTGCTCCCTCCGGAAGCTTTAATACTATAACTAGATCACTGCAGGAGATTCTATACATACAGGGTGTTCTCCCCTGCAAAAAAGGAGCTTTGTCATCTCCAAAGTAAACCCATTTTGGCTCAGAAGAAGCCCTTTCAAACTATTCAGACAATTTTACATCTTGTGGTATAAGAAAAGTGAAACTACAGATTCCCAGCTTCCTCTCGTATCAAATTTAAAATTCTAAGCAGACATACACGAGTGACATCATTTGCAGTAACACCATCTTTCATGTAGAACTGGTCCATAACTACTGGATCAAGCTCACTCATCAGAATTTCCAGTGTCTGATCTGGCTGATTGATTACCCGATTCTCTGGGAAGTCCAGAGTGTACAAGTACCTGTTTAAAAAAAGACAAATCGCATTCCTGTAATATGTACTAGCAGCACCTTTTCAAATTGAACTTTCTTTCATAAAGATAGATCTCGAAGTCATAAAACACCTACCAGCAATCAGAATTCATACGCCCCATGCAATAAGCTGCTCCATCTATTTGGGGACAGAAAAGTCACCAGTTAATGCAACCCAGTGGATCCCTTTCTAGGCAAGGTGACTAAACTGTGTTTTTAACAAGGTCAACGTAGCAATAGTCATACATGACTCACTAACTGGTCTGTTCTCCACTTGTTAGGTACTGTCCTTACCTCTTCTTCAAGCTTAGAGATGTTCAAAAGCCTGGCTTTACAGAGCTGTTGTTGCTTTTGCATTGAGACTGCTATACTTCTTACTGACGTAATCCTTATACTGATAAGGGTAATGGAAGTTAGGGTTGTGACCCATTAGAATATTTATAGCTGTCAGTCACCTGAGCATGATAAAAGACTCCAATAGCAATGGCTCATTTAAAGAGGCCTACCAGGGACCCTGGCTGAGTGTGCATCTGGTTAATATGGGTAAAATGTGATTTTTCTGCCATATTAGGTTTCCATCTAATTGGAAACATCAAGTTACTTTCAAAATACCTTGAATTTTAGATTATTTTTTATTTTTATACCTTGAATTATAATGATGATGGCGCAAGGCTTCAAACAAGGGGCAGGCACAACTCCATGCCACCAACCCCGTTGCTGCCAGGAGGCAAGGGGCCCTTGCCATGGTGGCATGGGCTTGCAGCAGCAGCACTGAACTTCCTTTCCCAGCCCTGTCGCTCTGGGTCCTGCCCACTAGGCTGCAGAGGCCCCAGGAGGAAGGTAGGAGGGTGGGGAGCCCAAGCCTGCACCCAGCCAAATCTGGGAGGGCACTTGCCCCCTCCCAGAAGTGTGCTGCATACCACTCCCCCCCCTGGGTCCTACAGCCACATATTCCAGCCCCAAGCCCCGCAAGCATCATCTGGGCAGCTTCCCCCTCCCCCTGACTTACCTGCGAGAGCTGCTCTCCAGGCTGCCATGAGCATTTGTACATGCACATTGTGTCCCCTGCCTGACCACCCTCCTCCCGCTTCCCCACCCCCTTGCAGGCTGAAACTGTCAGCCTACAAGGGAAAAAAACAAGACAACGCAAAAAAACAACAAACCCAAAACCAACCGTCAGACTTTTCTCTTTTAAAGAAATCTGGGTTTTACCACATTTTCCCATTCTGCACAGAAAACCCAAATCCCTGCTAATGATAGTATTCTACTACTTTAAATTTCTGAAATCTATAGCCCAAGTTTCTGAACATGACCTGGATTCTCATGTCTAGGAAAGAATGCTGTTGGTTCTACTTTCCAGACAAGTTCTGAAATTTCACCTTAAAACAGCAGAATATTCCAGGTTTCTAATTTTCTCATTTGATCTGCAGGAGCTTGCCAGTGATCATATGAAAAAGGGGGGGGCGCCCCTCAAATTTCAGATCCCAAGCAGATTTGTGAAGCTAGCAGTTATCAACAGGCCTCTTCTAACTAAGTGCATTTAATGCCAAGTTCCCCTACATAGCAAAAGACCCAAGAACCACCAGGTTTAGTCTCTTCAGAGGACTGTTCTCCTTGAAACTATTAGAGGGAAATGTTACTGTGACCATGGAAGTACTATAGTGAACTTCCCTGCTAGATATCAAGTGGTCAGATGTATAAAACAGACTCCACCTTTTAAAATATTCTAGTTTTAGTTTAAAGGAACTTCTTGGCTCTCTCTTTTTTTAAAAGGGGCTTCCTAGCCAGCAATAAGTACGACAAAGTTTCAGTCCCGAAACCAAATCCTATTAGGAATTTTATTTTGCAACATGTAACCTCTCCCACATGGACACACTGGTCAAGCAGTTAGAAGGAACAGTCTTTAGTAGAGGTAGTTGATGTTGGATGAGCCTGCACTGGCTGCAAAATCCTGCAGTGCAGTTCTCAACAGCTCTTGCAGCAATTTAGCATGTAGGGTACCATGACTGCCACATACATTAGCATCATGTTATTAAGGACAAACACTAGACATTAATTCTATGTGAAAAGAAAATGACAATTACTCACTTGGGAAAATTTCATTAAGGAACTCTACTTCTTCCTGGAAATTCCTATGTGGGTACTCCTGGTGGGAAGGCTTCATAAAATTCTTACGTGAATAAAAGAAGCTCTGAAAAAATAAAAAGGCAAAAAAGCAAAACAAAAAAAATGTAAAGACATACAGCATATTGTATTATTAGGTATCCTAGATATAGGTTCAAGTTTAAACTTGCATATGGCTCTCCGCTCACCCTTATTAAGAGAATCAAAAAAAAAAAAAGTGACACTTTTCTAAGTCTTGTATATCCAGGCTGAAGTGAATATTCACACATTAGTACCTTAGTATCTTATCCATCTAGGACTTGTACACTGCAACCCATCACTCACTGACAGCTTTACAGCAACTAGTACTTATTCCCTATCCACACTGAGCAAATCTTGGTTTCAAAACAGACTTATGCATTAGTTGAAAGAAAAGACTGACTTGATAACATTAAAAAAAAAGTAGAAAGCTATATCTATAAAATGCAAGTGCTTGTAGGATATGAGCTTGGAAAAAAGAGATTTGTTATAGAAGAGGAGTTGCATTAAATAAACTATAGAAGAATGCATGCTAAATGGGAGTTTAAGGATTTATGGTAGTATATTTTTTCACATCTTACCTGAATGGAGTCAAACCCACTGTGCTTTCTGGCAAGCTCCAAAAGGGGAACCAGTGCTTGCAGTAAGAGGGTGGTACCACATGTCTTCAAAATGAAACGTCTCTTGGAGACAAACATGCTACTCTCACTGACAGGGGGAAACAAAGTTAGATTAAAAAAGTTTAATTCACTGTGCAACCTAGAGACACTTATCACATTAACACAGTGTATTTCCTACATATGAAAAAAAGCAAGCAGAGACAAATTATGAGCCATTGCTAGACAGCAACTCAGAGCCAACGGTATTAAGACTAACCAATAGAGATACTGATTTTTGTAAATTTTAGTAGTATGCCTTGTGCCAAACAGACTTCACCCAAGACTTTCAAATTTTCAGGTGTCCAACTAGACATTCTGCATCATCTCTACCTCTATTTTCAGATGATGGATACTTAATGCTATGAGCATATGTGACCTTAAACATTACTTCAAGGTGTCAGATAAGGCAAAGTCACCTTTGAAAAAAATCTTTACTTCAGATTTCAATAATGCACCACAGATAACTAGGCAAGAACCTTTAGTCCAGCATGAGATTAGTTCTAAACTGAAGAATTATTATACCCTTTCTGAATAAAGCAGCAGCTGAACAAGCCTTAGGCCTAACATTTACTGCCCTCACAGAGATGGACTTCAAACAAATGAAAGAGACAAACATTCATGTACAAGTCAGCATGAGCAGTTCTAGGAAGACAGAGCTTTTTTTATTTAACATAAACAAATTCTGATTAGTAAATATTGTCTATAGAAAGCTTAAGAGCCTAGCATTCTTCCAAGATGGATATTTACTGGTAAAAATCAGAGACTTAACTGAATAATCTGATGTGATGCACATTTTCACAGCATTGTTTCAGATTAGTCACTTTATATATTGGATACAGTGGTCCAACTAATCTAAACAAAACACTAAGGCATCTTCTTTCCTCAGATCTTCACTATGGTAACAAATTAAAAATCACTTTTAAAGATAGCAAGGCAAGCAGCACAAACTTCTCTTCCTATTAGGAAAGCATGAGGTACAGGGCAGGCAAAGCATTTTGGCAGGTAAACCCCTCCTTGAAAACACCCTTCCTTGCCTAGTCTGCTTCTTTCTACTCCCTGCCTTGTTTGCTACATGCTATACACAGACCACCTGAACCATGTGTGGACTGCCTGCTGCAGGTTGGCCAGTCAAGCTACACCACCACTTTGGTTATCAAAACACCTTTCCTAAAGTGAGATTTAGATCAGTGAACTTTATAAAACAACAGGAAGTGAAGATATGAAGTCTGCTGGAAAACAAATCATACTTTAATGAAAAAAAATGAACTGAAGATAGTTGTATATAGAATAGGCATGTTTGTAAAGAATGTGGGCATTATACAGCCACACACAGAAAAGAAAAGACACTATATATAAAATACATTGTATACTACTACTCAAATCCTGACCCAAATTTTTAGTTGCAGATTCATATATGTTGATCCTTGTGTGCTGTAGAGAAAACTGGGCATAGATCTCATTACTTCTATTTCATGGTCCCTTAACTCTACAGCAAGTTTAAGGGGCCTTTGTATAAATATGAGTGCAGGTCCCATAAACAATAGCATAACTAGGGGTGAGCAAGAAGGGCACCTGCCCCAGGTGTCATGTTAGGAAGGGCACTGAAGTTTCCCCTACCACTGCAGGGTCTTAATTTTGTCAGTTTGTCCATGCCAGGAACCCTTAAAAAGTTCCTAGTTACTGCTGCTTTAAGAGCAACAACAGGGGCAGGCCAATTATGTAGAGCAGCAACAGCTCAGCTAGGATTGTTTAGGAATTCCCAGTATGGGTAAGGCTGCTGTTCCCCCACACACTCCAACAGGGTTGTCCCTGGGCATCAACTCTGCTTATGCCACTGTCTATAACAGGGGTTCCCAAACTTTTTATGCCACAGGCCAGAAGTGGCTGCCATACTGCAGGCTGGCAGCCCACATTTTTTTTTTTTTTTTTTTTTTTAAATACTTAGTATAAAAAAGGGTTGGCTGCCAGACCATCATACTGTGGACACTTCCAGACTTCCAATCCGGCAACCTACCCTCTTGTGGACTGGCAGCCAACCCTTTGCAGCCCAGTACCAGACCGTGGCCTGGGGGTTGGGAACCCCTGGTCTACAAGTTTCTCAGCTGGGCAGGGGGAAGGAAAGGGAGAGGGGAAAGGACTAAAATATAAATAAAGTTAAGGCCAGGAAAGAGCAACCCTGCACAGAATATGGTTTAAAAAGTTGAAAGGTACAATTGTATAAGTTAGTCATGATTTGCAGACTGATGATTTGCAGCTGATTTGTAATAAATGATGCAGTTAAGTCTGTGGAGATGTTGGAGGTTTCCCCAGTGCAACTTATTTGCCAGTCTCTTGCCCCAAGCTTCTTTTGCCTTAATCTTGGAAGTAGAGAAAAAACCAACAACTGGTATATTTTCTTGGTGTAAGATGGCCAAGATCTCCAACTGTGCTACATGGACCAGAAGGAAGAATCCCTAAATTGTCAGAAAAGCTGTGGAGTCTTATAAAGTGTCCTCACAGTTTAATAGTTCTGTTTACATTTTAAAATGGTAAAGCCAGATTTGTACCATTCCACATAGACACAAGCTTTGAAATTAAAAAATTTAGCCATTCTTCTTGCAATTGCTATTCTGAAATGCATCTTGCTATTGAACATAGTCCAAGTACGTTTTTCCATAAGCTCTTAATTTGGGACTCCTACTGATCTACTAGATCAGTAGATGGGATGGAGACAAGAGATTTCACAGACATTAGGGCTGGAAGGGACCTCATGAGATCATCTGGTCCAGCCCCTGCCCAAAGATGGAGATGGGCATTAAGCTAGTTCTTTAATCCTTTGAGATGTTGAAAAACAAGTAACAGTACAATTATTGAAAAACACAAGCAAAGTTGGATTGATTTGAATTTATCTGTCATTAACAGACCCTGCAAGATGCAGTCATCCAGTAAAATTGGAAAGAAACCAGAACTTCCTTAAAAGAGATACCATTAGGTATGCTTCTGGAAAAAACAAAGCATCTCCTGGAAATACAAGCTTACCTGAGTACATAAGCTTCCTGCTTGTCAGTTTTTGTCACACTTATGATCAAACAATGCACATTCTCCAAAAGTTTGTCCCACTCAAACCTGCAAAAGAAAAAAGTCAGTAAGTTAAATACACAATATTGAGAGGATGTTTTGCCAAATAATTTTTCATTCCATATATTAAGGTAGAAGGATGCCATTTGAAATAAAACACTAAATATTTAGAGTGGCAAAGCCAAAATAAGTCTCACAACCAGAATTTTAAACTATATTGTTAAATAATGGTTTCCTGCCCGGCTCAGATTAGCAGAACTGGTTATATATAGCTGTTTATACCTTTTTCGAGTTGCCCTGAGCTTAACCGAAATTTTTTTTTTTTTTTAAACTTATAGCCAACTATTCCCTTTTTCAGGCAATGCATGTTTCCACACTGATTAACTTAACTCCATAAGACCAAGTTGAGACTTTTTCCACAAACCAATTTACTCTGTATTTACATTTTAATAATACTTGCAGATGAAGAATGCAAAGTATCAATTTAATTGAACATGGTAAGACAGTACTAATCCTTTCAGTCAACTGCACTGAGAGACAGGAATATGAACAAGTTAGCTCTTTCTTTGGCATTTGGGCCCCCCCAAACACCCATATTTGTTATATATCAATACAAAACCAAATGAGCAAATCAGCAACTAGTTGGTAAAGCCTGGCTCATGTTCTGCAGATAGAAAAATCTGAATTCAAGCCACTAGACATTTTAGTTACAGTGCACCTAAGCCACTATTCTCCATATAAGTTGCAAAATCATGGGTTATTAATAAACATGGTCTTGAATAGAAATCACCTGCATTATGTGGTTAAATAAAGTAGCCTTGTGACTTTGGGCATAACTGTTGATTTCTGTCCCGTTATAAAATGGGAATACTCCCTCCCTCATCAGTCTTGACAGGTATTTTGGAGCATCCTAGACTATTTCTAAACAGTGTTAAGCAGAGACCAGAGCTCCATTACATTAACAGAAATGAACATCTAATTCCACTGATGAGTCACAAGTGGAATAGCAGGGAGTCATAAGCTGTCATTTTACATGCCAATGTGATGGGATATTACCCACTTAACACAAGAAATAATTTGCTTTTGTGAGCTAAAGCAGATTTTTCCTTTAGCTTGTCACAGTATATATAGAGTTTGAGATTTGTCTTGTGCCACTTTAAGCAGCAGCTTTTTGACAGACAGTAACTGAACTGCTTTATCTACCTTCAAGGTTAAACAATGTGTTGTCCTAGTAGTATTATAAATGCTACCCCTTAATCACCAAAGTTCAACTATTTAGATAGCTAGTCCCAACCAAACAAGCAGGAGTGGACAAAATTTGTCAAGACCAAAAATATCTAAGGCATGGCATGTCTGACAAATATTCTGGAGAATAGGGAGTATTTTCACATGTTCTCAAAAGACTGGTACAACCCTCCTTGTCTGTGTAAAGAGTGTGATTGATTACAGCCTCTCAAAACATCTCCTAAATTCATTTAATGCAACTGTCAAATGTTTTCAGAACATCACTTAAGTTACACTTTTTGCATTTATTGCACATTCCATAACAAGTTACAGTAGATAAACTATGCATTTTTAATATATGAATATATTCAGAAGTGCCCCCCCAATCTTGCACTACTGCAGTCAATAAAGCTAATTTCTTAAGGAATGACAGATAGGTAAGCCACAAACTAGTTACTTTAAAATTAAGCCTAATACTAGAAGAATTTTTAAAGTAACCCATACTACAGTTGATTATTTATTAGTGATCATAAAATGAGCCACAAAAGAAGCCAAACTGTGCCGGAAGGGTAGATATTATTTGACATAAAATTAAGTTTTAGCTCCTCAGCTGGATACATTTAAAAAGTCAGTAACAGTCCCTTCCACTATGAGAAGGTTAGCTGCACTTGTTCCTCTTCTAACTGCATCACCTCAGGGTCAGGCATTTGCCTTTACCCACTCCAGAACAAAATTCTGTATTTCTCCCACTCAAAGTAGGGCATCAAATTTTTGTATACTATGGCCAGCTGCTTTAATCATCTACTAAAACTTAGTACCTGTGGATTTCTCACCATCAGCTAGTTCAAAGTATCAGGGGGAAGACAGACAAATCCAGAAGTAGACAGGCAGTAAAAGAGTACTTGGAAAAACCCAAGTGTTTTATATACATCTAAACTTTCCATCTCCTACTGCTGGAGTGACAGCTTTCTGTAGGCACCTAGTAGGATGTCTGAATCTTTAGGTTTTCAAGATTTCTTCGTTTCTTTCTCCATGAAACAGTCCTTTCAAGCCTACTAAGCTAGTTTCCATGGGGTACAGAACTTTCTGCCCTGGAATACCTTCACACCGTCCTACTTTTCAACCCCCTATTAGACAAGACCAGTATATTCATACAGTAATCAACCAGGTCAACATACAGTATTTGTAAGTCAGCAATTTCAAGTCCATGCATATTAGGACTCTAAAAAGTTATTTAAAGATTTGATCAAGATTAAAAAATTAAATCACAATGAATCCCAATTTTAAATCACACAGCTAAACTCAAAATTATGTGGGTACTTTGTATGGTTGCGGGGTGGGAGTGCATAGGGTTTGGAGCCTAGGGAGGGGGTGTCCCTGCTTACCCTGGCAGGATGCAGGGAACTATGGCTTGGGAGTGAGGGGCAGTGGTAAGGCACAGGCATATCACTGCGACCCCCACATCATATTAGCCTCCCTTTGCCACAGATGTTCTCTTTTGAAGCAGGAAATATGTTAACCCTACAGGAATGCAATCCCGTGGCATGCAGAGCAGCGCCCAGCAGGTAAGTCTGTAGAGAGGGAAGGGGCTGGGGAGAGGAGGGAGAAAAAAAATTGAGCCGCCCCCCCAAGTCAGAGAGGGAGTGGGGTAGGGCAAATGGAGCCCCAGGGCCAGGGCAAATCATGGGATGGAGCTGCAGGAGGCTCATCCAGAGGTGTTGAGCGGTGCGGCTCCCTGCTGCTGTGCACATCCCTGGGGAAGGCATATGTGGGCTGCCGCTCTGCTGCCTTTGTCCTGGGGAGCTGCAAGCTGGCTGCACTGCACATCCTCTGCTTGCCTGTGTATTTTTCCAATTCTTTAGGCTCATGTTTTGTCTTGTAAATTTTTAATTTAGGTTATTTTAATTTTTAGTTTAATGAATATAGAATACAGGAATTGTACAGAGCAGGGAGTGAATATAGTCCCCATCTTAATACTAGGATACAAATCAAAATGCTCATTTTTTAAATCACAGTGTTTGGCAGCTCTATGACAGCACTGAAAACTAAAGCTTCTAGGCGCTAGGATAATGGATCTCAACTTTAGTTTTATGAGACTGAGTGCCACTGTGCAATTACAACCAGCATGGGTGTTACCACCAACCAGGTGAAACTGTCCCAGGAAACTTCTGCAGAGCCAGATCATAAAGCAGCTGCAGAGGAGGAGAAAGTGTTCCTTTTGTTCAAATTATGTTTATTTGACAAGCCTAATGCAGGCAGGAGTACTCTCTTGCTGCAGCACTTCCCAATCTAGCCCCGCTCCACCCAACTCCTCCTTGGAGGGGTGCTTTTAGTTTAAAAAGGTGGAAAACCAATAGAACAAGACAAAAAGTTTCCCTAGTGCAAAGCCATAGACAGCTGTTACATTTGCAGCAAACACACCAAGGGGAAATAGGTACACAGGTCCTGTAGTGCTACAAGTGTTCCTGGATGAAGCAAACTTGTGTCATGGTAGGTTTTGTAGCACCACGTGCAACGCCACTGCACCAGCATATCAGCCCCCTCAGCATCCAGCACTGCTCTATCACACACCCACCCCCTCCAAAGAGGAAAGGAGAAGAAAGTAAGAGGGTGGGTAGTCAGAATACAGCTCCAGGAAAGTACAATCTGTCCATTCCTCCAGAGACTAGGTTTTAATCCACTTTCAGCCCTGTCCACAAGGCTGCAGCCCAGACACAACAGGGGTGGGAGTAAATATAGTCCCCATCTCAAAGCCCCAGGCCTGAGCCAACTCTTAGCTGCTCACTTGTGGCCCCATCATAGCTGGGCTGTAACTGGAAGTCAACATAAGACCCAAGCTGTGAACGAGCCTGAGACTGAGCATCTAAGTAAGCCTGAATATTACAGCATATTCTTTCACAGAAAAAGAAAACGTGCAAGCGCGTTTTCAAAACAAAAACACAGAAAAACAGTATTATAAAACGGTCCAACTTTGATGGCCTTAAAAAAAAAAAAAAAAAAGTTAGCTTGGGTAAAAACTACGAATAAGCATTAGCTATTCCCCCCCCCCAAACTATTGGCGATTACTTGGTTTTTGATCCAAGTTCAATGCACGGCGTTATATTTTATGCAATTTTCTTAATGTGCAAGTAAAGACAATAGAGTTTAAAGGTTAAAACCTCGCCAACCTCATCACCAGAAGCAAACTTCCTCAACCCCAGAACACACCAAAAGGATCCAGACCGTGCCATGACAAGAAATGCAAAACCTGCCCCCACATCTCCACCACCCCCACTATTACTACACCCCACAACCGAGCCATCAGCATCCCAGGATCATACAGCTGCACCTCCAGGAATGTAGTATACCTCATCCAATGCACCAAATGCCCTGATGGAAGATATGTAGGAGAGACCAGACAACAACTGCGCACCAGAACGAATGCACACCGGAAATCTATCGACAGAAATACCCAATTACCGGTGGGGGCACATTTCTCACAGGAGGGCCACTCTCTCTCCAATCTCTCAGTCCTGATCCTCAAGGGAAATTTACACAACACATCCCAGAGATGAGCCTATGAGCTCCATTTCATCAACCTGCTGGATACTAGAGATCAGGGACTAAACATAGACATTGGATTTTTGATACATTATAATCTGCCTGGCAACTGACTCCCCAGCCCAGCCCCTGGCTTCTTTACTTTTCATTCCATCCAGGAAGAGCACACACCAACTGCTGCAGCTTCCTGAGCCTGACAAAGGGTTTTTGAACCCGAAAGCTTGCTTAATAACTATTCTCCAACCATTTGGGTTGGTCTAATAAAAGATATCAAATTCACCCAAGGAACCTTGTCTGCCTATATCCTTAGACCAACACGGCTACAACCTAAACCCCTGCAAGGTTAAAAACTAAGATTCATGAGGAGAAAACCTGCCATCCAATCCAGACAAGGGAGGGGAGCATAGAACCATTCACTCTCACGCGAAGGGGCATGTTTCACTGGGAGAAATTCAATGAATACTTGTACATGGCCTTAAAGTAAGAAGCAGGATTGCATTATAAAAGAAGTCTCTGACAGCACATAAAGGTTATGAACATACATGAAGGGAAACAGAATTATCAGCAAAAATCTAGGAGGAAAGTCACTAATGTTGAATTTGATTTCAGCACAATCTATTTAACCAATCTGCAGCTCAAAAACGAAAGCAGTGTCAAAGTTTATATATAGTCAACTAGAAATAAAATATTTGATGTTTTGTAAAATGTGGATTATGGGGTACATTGAAGGGAATGAAAATGCAAGAGCAAGTTAACTGCAATCTGGTGAATTGAAGTGTTTATTCATTTTGCCAATTAAAGAATGATTTGCCTTGACACCTGAGTGGGATGTTAATAGGCAAGTTTGATTAATTATTTTTCTACTAATCTAATGACTAGGTGATCAGTGCCTACATTGAGATAAATGGTTTCTGCTGACGTTCTACACACATTATTTCCTGGTTGGCCAAGTGAAGCAGTATACTGCTGCCAATTTGGGAGACAGAATGAGGGGCAGAGAAGTCAGAATGGAGTGGAAGCCAGTAAAGGCCTAATTTCCACTATTCATTTAGCACAGAGATAATGCAGTAGCCTTTGGTGGAAAGTGATGCTGAAACCTAAGGCACCCCACAGGCTTGATTCTGAAGGAAAACAGCATTGCTTCTCAGCATGGCCAGAAGCAAAGAGAAGGGAGTGCTGACCAGTGTCCTGGCTCTACTCATGTGTAATTTGCCTCAAACTGTTGAATTAATAGGACAAGAACTGTGTTGCACTTTTTCTAAAGCACCTAGGGAAAAAAAAAATAAAAAAAAAAAAATAAAAAAAAAAAATGGAATTCTAGTCTCTGCCTAGGTATTACAAATAACTTATCCGTGCTGCTAACACTCTAAAATGCCAGTCTGCCGTACCTTCTATTTTATTACTTGCAACTGATTTTTAACTATTGCTGAACAGCAGGCCAATAATGGATGCAAGGAAAGAAAAGCACACATTCTGGATATGGACAGGTGTTTATCTGCAGCAGGACAAGTGTGACAAGGGAAGCATACAACCATTCTAGCCCCATGGAAGGAAAACTACAAAGCCACAAAGGAGAGGTCTCTAGCCATGGGTGATAGCAGCCTGCTTCTGGGCTCAGCCTGTCTTCTCCCCTGCTGGGAGCAGGGAACATGCCATCAACAGCAGCTGAAAAGGCACCAACCACCAAGGACAGCCCTCCATTCATAGTGGTAGCAAGCTTGAGAACTGCTTTCCTCACACCTGACAGTTCCAGTAGTCACTGCCAGAGCCCCTGCAGTTTTGGTAAGTTCCCCAACCCCAGAGGACTAGGGCGAGGGAATGGCTCCCTGACAACCTGCCATAAGGCAGGCAAGCAAGCAAGAAAAAGAAGACTATGGGATATTTGGACAGGGGAGGGAGAAAGGAGGAGTCTTCGGGACTCTCTCATTTTGGTACATAAGAACTGAACAGGGATTACACATGGTGCTAGAAAACAACAAAACCAATGTTTAAAACCAGTTTGTAGCAGAATTGCTAGTTACCCTCCTCAAAAAGAGCCCCACAACACTGCTTGAATACCTGTACATTCACATTTTGTGCTAGGGAAAACAGGAGTTCAATACGTACTGTGATGACAAAGGTGGTAAACCCCCCCCAAAACCTTAATCTTCATTTATTTCTAGCCTCTAGGTTGTTCAGATATTTATTCAAGAACATATTGCTGCATAGTGCTACAGCTCTGATAAGTGTGATCTTTCCTCATTTGTCCCAGTCAATACAGTTCTGTAGTGGGTGGTTTACTGTCTAAAGCAATATTATAACTGCAACTAATTAAGAAAATCCTCAACTGAGAGACACTGACTGCATTTTTCACGTGTTAAGATTAATGACATCTGCTACTGACAGCCAAGTCATTTTATTTCTCCAAGAATGCAGCAAGTTCCTGAATACATGCCAGAAAGATGTTTGAGAAATGCTGTATAGAAAGCTAAAAAGGTAGGCACTACTAAAATACACTATGATCCTCTACTTTACTATCTAACTTTAGCATTTGTCAAGCATGAACTGGAAGATTCCACTATGTAAAGGCTTTCTGTTTTACAGTCACTAACAGTGAATGTCAAATGAAGGGGGAGAAGGAATTTTTTTTCAACAACCAACTCATGTATGTCAGTGCATGATAGTCTGGCATTTGCAATGAGTGCCTAACACAGTAGCCTTGAAACTTGAATTGTCTGATGCTCAGCCTTTTGGGTTCATTCAATTCATTATAAAGCTTCAGCAGCAAAGTCCAGGGAATTGAAAAAGGTAAAGTTTACAAGTTTTACAGTTTTATTAAAAAGGTAAGTCCCTCTATTATTTGAGAAGAATTAGTTCATCAACAGTGGCAATCCACCCTACCTCCAGCCAAGCATTCAATTTTGTGTTTGAGCTAAGTAGGTGAGGATTTTCCTTGCCAAATGGAGCTATGCCCTTGAAAATCATGATCAGCAAAATCTTGATTTGTTCTACAATTGCCCACAGTACAGGATACTGCTTAATGTATAAACAAGGTTTCACATAGTTGCAATCCACTCTTTTCTATATCAGTAGTGGGAAGGGCTCCCAACTACAGGGGGGGGGGGGGGGGGGGACAAACAAAACAAAAGAGGGGGGGGGGGGGGGGGGGGAAACCAACCAAAAAAAAAAAAAACCCGCTTAGAACTATTAAACTGAGGACTTTTCTGCACAAAAGATCATGCTGTACAACAATAAAAATTTGCATTAATACAGCTTACTCAAGTTTAAGATAAGTTGTACTGGTATAGGTCATTTTACACTGCTGCAAAAGTTTCTAGTGTGGGGAAAAAATAAATCTATAAAATCTTTTCAAAAGGCAACAAACTCTTTATGTGGCTCCATGTTCAGTACAATTTGACTATCAGATCAAGCAATATTTTTTTACTGATCCAAGGCAGTGGAGTAAAATTTATTTCAAGCTATTTCATCGAATACCATAAGATTTTCATAGAAGTATGAAACTACTTCTTGCCACGTGGTCTTTGGAGGAAAAAGTTTCCCTTATCTCTTCAAAACAGTCTTATCTCCAGAACCACATTGTTACAGGCTAATATATTTCAACTTCTTCAATAGTTGTTTATGCATGGCTCAAGGAATTAATTCATATAGCTATAACAGTAGTCAACCAATATGTAGTCCTTGTTATTTCCTTGCCTATCAGCTAATTATGCTCAATTATAAAATTAAGAAACAAGATGAACTACTATTCATTTCAAAAGCTGTAAAGTGTTAAGTTAAAGTTTATTATAAACACCAACTGCTTAATAGATAGGAAAATATTTTTGTAACTAAAGACCATTCACTGGCTTTGAGGGGGATATTTAAAACACTTTCATAAACAAACAAACAAACACTAACTCACCATCAGCTTGAAACTACTACTTCCGTACAAATCTTTTCCTACTGTAGTTAGGAGTAATGCGTAAAGAAAAATTCTATTTTACTTTCAGCTGGCTCCTCAATTTGTGAAAGTATTTTACACAGAAACAGGAAAGAGGCTAAATTTAAAGAAGTTGACTGGAGGCTTAAAAGCTATAGCATGAGAATCCACTCAATTATTTTAACCTAACTAGATTGAGTTGCATGCCTTTGTATAAAATTGTATACTTTACCCAATGTTTGAAATTCAACTTGTAAGTATGTTCTTCTGAAGACCAAGTCTTCTCGTTTGATACACCATCACAGTAGTGTGAAGTTGAAACCGAATTTCCAATTCCCTTTGGTATTCAGACATTTGTTTGACTAACTTCTGAAAACAGAATGATTTTATAGTAAGAATCCAGATATTATTCAGACTGAGTTTTTAAACTAGATCGGTTCTTAAAGAACCGATTTCAAAGAAACGAGGCATTTTGCTTTAAAGCACAATCTGAATAAGTGCCATTTCAAAACCATGCTGTGTTCACAGTTACTTGTACAGTAAATATTACAGACCAATCATTCAATCGACTACAAAAGCATTATCTGAACTGTACTTAATAGATTCTGCCTGTTGACATGAGCAAAAATTCTTACCAAATAAAACCTAAGTGATAGCTTTTAAAATACAAGCCATTTATCCTGAATGTAACAAACTTCTGATGGACCCTGTGGTTGTCCCATTTCTTATGACCTGGTATAAGCTGTGTTATTAAGACATTTAAGATCTTAACTGTTTTACATACTAATTTATCACTTGAACATCTCATTACTGAAGTAATTTAAAGTTGCTATCAGTCATTTGCTTGACGTTTCAATGGAAACTTATTCTTTATCACAATTTAAAATATAAAGAGTTCAAATTTAGTCCGATCTGCAGTGTTCAAGAGTATTCTATATAGCCAAAAATCCAGAGATTGTTTCTGAAACAGAAGTCCACCCAAAAAACAGAATGTTAAATAGTAAGATAATTACTTTAAGAGATTTATAATCAACGTGCAATGCAGAAAAGTACAAATGATATTTTAAAGTAGCATAAAAACTGTCAATGCTAAAACTACATAATTTAGTTCCTCTACTTGGTTTTTACATAGAATAAAGGAATTACTCCAAGTCACTGTCACTAGTTGCACGGTACTAGATTTCATGTACTGAATTGCTCTCAAACACTAGGAAGCATACCTACATAAGCAGGTATCACAATAGCCACAGGGATGTAATATTGGTTTTGACAGGAGAAAAGTCAGTCCATAAATCACTAAGGATGGTCCTCAATGACACTTCCATCAAGACAGAATGCCAACAGTGTAAGTAAAGAGAAAAGCCAGAATGAGCTTCCTAAGCCTTCCCCCATGATAAATTTCAAAATCTTTACAAAGTAGTGCTTAAATGCCTGTGCTTAATACAGATTAGCATTTTCCAAGCAAATTACCCTAACGAACAGGCAAAAGTTCTGCATCTTTGATCTTCACGCACTTGAATTTCCTAAAACTCTCCCCACTGGTGTTCCCATTTCTTAGGATGATCTGAAGACAACTATGCTGAAGGTCCTTGGTTTTACTTCTACCTATTGCTGTTTTTCAGTAAAGATATGAGCAATTTGATTGGTTTTGCATTTAGTGTCCATCATACCACAAATGGGCTAGTTACTGGTTGTTTCATTTAAGCATATGAGGAACATTTTTACTTGTTCGCTTTCAGTTAGAAACTAGAATCTGATTCCAATTGTATATGGCTAAATTTAGCCCATTAAGTGGCATTTTGGGTCACTCATAAAGCTTCAATATTTTACTAACTTGGATCTCAAGCGTATTTTAACAAACATTGCAGCAGGAGGACACAATAAGTGTCCTCATCCTACTGCTTTACTTGTGGCAGGTTACAGCAGTGGTTTTCAACTTGTGGTCTGCAGACCTCTGGGGGTCCCCAGATTATTTCTTAGTCTGCAAAAAATTATTATAAAAATCAAAAGTGTGTGAATATCCACACTTACAATTCAAAGGAATCTGCATCTCAATTAATTTTCTTTTTAGGGGTCCACAAGTGAAACAAGGTTGAAAACTATGGTGTTAAGACACCAAAAGTGCTTTAAAGCAGGACTGTCCAGCTTATAGGGCTGAGGGCCAAATAGCATGCAGACACCCCCACTGCATTGTGTGCCCTCATAGTCTGGACCTCACCCTGAGCTCCCCACCAGCCCTGCTTTGCTACGATTCTATATCCCCCCCACCATGTAAGCCCCAAAAATATTAGCTGCAAATATGTAACTTCCTACCATTTAATGCCTTTTAGCCCAAGAGATTACTGATTAGGGCTGCTTGTCCAGGGAGTAGGAGACTCAGGGAACAATCTTCCTTCTTTATCAAGAGATGGTTTGGACCTACATCTTCCACTTGGCCAAGGATCCTAGCCAGCAAGCCAGAGGCTTGCAGTTTAAGAGCACCGCCCCCCCATCCCTTCTGTTGAAGCCTGCCCACTGAGCAGCCATGTGGAGCCAGAGGACATCAACAAGAGGAAGTATAGTTCAACAAGATGGGCACGGCCAAGTAGGGAGAAGGTGCTGATGTTTGAACCCCTGCTAAGAAGATAGAGGTCATTTTACCGTTTTGAGAGGCTATACATTCCATGGCAAGCTGCATTTGAGTTCAGCAGCCAGGTCCTAGATGGCACTGCACTCTTGTAATGGCAGCTTCATGCAAAGCTGGCATTAAAACATAGGTCTAGGGATCTATATAATTTTATCTGAACCAATGCATACAAAGGCCCTTCACCTTTCCATCCTTCACATGGATGTGTGCGCCACCCTCCAACCCTGTTTTACTTAAAAGAAATCCATGCAACTGTACTTACAGCAGGGTCTCTGTGTCCTCACAGCTCTATGCCATCTATTGACTACAGTAAAACATGCACTGCGGCAGAAAAGTTGCCCGAAACTAAGTAACTTTAAAAATATTTCAGAATCAGTGCATGAAATCAAAGGGGAGGAGCTGTCTTCCCAGCCTTACCCATGCTCAAAGCTGGGTAAGCTGCTATTACTGGGAAGCTACTCCTGGGCTAGGGTGAACACATTCACCGTGAGGAATGCTGTGAATATGAAGCACGGTCAGCACTCTTGAGCTCCAATATCCTACAGCACAATCAGCCAGGATCGACTCTCCAGATATTTTAGCTGTTACACTATAGCAAATTTATGAGCATGTTAGGGGTACACCGATAAGGGTTTTTTGGGTCAATAACAATGGTGGATTACTGACCAGCCATGTCAGCCAATACCAACTAGATTGCTGATACACAGTCCAGCAACTTGGGAGAGCAGCATCAGGTTAGTAAATCTGACGGGGGGGGGGGGGAAGCAGATTGAGGGTTCCCACAGTGAGGGAGTGGGGCTGGCCACGGGCTGCCCAGCCAGGGCAGGACAGGGCACAGGACAGAGCCTGGGTGGTTCATCAGGGGTGGGGATGACACAGGGAAAGCAGGGGTTAAAGGACAGCTCCTGCCACTGCATGCACCCCAGGGAGAAACATGTGCCCCCTAGATCTGTGCATGGGGTGAGGGCAAGCTGCCCACTCCGGGCCAGGGGCTGCAATGGGCTCTTCCCAGTAGGGCCGGGCCAGGGCTGTATTTGGGGCAGGCAGGGGTCTATGGGTTGGGCTATAGCCACCCCAAAATTCACTGCAGGCCCTCATAGCTCCCCCTGCCAACATTGCTGCCACCTGCCCCACCCCCACCCACCCTGAGTGCAGCCCCAGCACTGAGCCTGCAGCCCGCCCTTGCCCCACACATCCCTGGGGGGGGGGGGGGGGGGGGGCCCGGCGGGG